TTTGTTCCCCCCAGTAGGTGGTTGGCGGGTGTTGTGGTGTGGTTTGCTCCTTCTTCTTTCTTATCAAACATCTACCATCTTTATCGCTCCTCCTTCTTTTTTATGTTTGCTACTCTCTTGTAACTGTTCTAATCTTGGCACTTATACGATCTTATTGAGTTGCAAGTGCCGTTAAACTCTTTCCTGACTAAAAAGAGCATTTTCCCCTGTATGAGCCATTCTATCCTTTCAACACAGTATGACAACAGATGCTGTAGGCCTACAATAAACAATAAATGTGAAACAACGCAGTAGAGTCAGGCGCTCCTCAAATTTTGAGCATATGGAGTTATTTGTATCGTATCATCTTAAAGCTTGTCCATTTGTCTTGCATTTGGCATCTTGAATAGAAGAAGTCGAGAAATCTGTGATTGAAAGAGGTGGGAGTTGCCTGGTTTAAGAGGTAAAATTAGCGAGAAAATGGCCTCCAAAGTTTGGGGATTTCCGAAGCTTGAAAGTCCTTGGAATCTGGACATTTATATTTTTCCTGCCTTAAATTAACGTTTTTGGTAACATCCGAACAGAAATGCGTTTTTCAAAAGGCAGAAAAGGTGTTGAGCTAAAAAAAAGAAAATTTTTTTTAATTGCCCAAAGCCCAGAAAAACGCAGATTTCTTTGATTTCATAATTTGGACGAGCGCCAGATTTCCCCATGCTGCCTCACTAATGTTTCCTGCTGCTATCAAAACTTTTTTTTTTTTAACATGACATACAGTTGTGTAGTGGCTCAGTGCTCTACTTTGTCAAGACCAACGCCACATGGGAAAGGCAGGATACAAATGAAAACTTTTCCCATCTGAAAAAACTCACCCACCAAAAAAAAAACAACATCAAAATCTTAAGAATTTTTAAACCAATGTATGTATGTTTTTAAACATTTGATCAAGGATCTATTATTTACCCCTTGACCTGTCTGCCGTGTAATTGTCAACATCCTTGACAAATGGGAGCATATTTTCTTTTTAATCACATTGTGAGCAAACTATGAATTAAGAAGAGAATAAAGAAGAGTTTTTCAAACAACGAATTCAGAACATAACAAAGTTTTTCAAACAACGAATTCAGAACAGAACAAAGTTTTTCAAACCACGAATTCAGAACAGAACAAAGTTTTTCAAACTATAAATTAAGAACAGAACAAAGTTTTTCAAACTATAAATTAAGAACAGAAAAAAGTTTTTCAAACTATAAATTAAGAACAGAAAAAAGTTTTTCAAACTAGGAATTAAGAACAGAACAAAGTTTTTCAAAACTAGGAATTAAGAACTATGTAAGTGAATTACTTTTAGTTTAAGAGTTTAGCAGTACTTGCAACACAAACAGGTCATGTATTATGAAGAGCTAGAGATTAAAGGTGGCCCGACATTGTGTCCTTGGGAAAGGCACTTTACACGAATTTTCCTCACTTCACCCAGGTGGGAATGGGTACCCGGCTATAGACAGCGAAAGATCTTGT